ATTGAATATTTTTGCTGCATCATCATATGGAAAATGTTCTATATCTACTTTTTCATCAGCTATTCTCATTAGGTAGCTGAAATGCGTATTTGTTTCGTTTTGATCGTTTCTACCCACATTTGTTTCATTTTCATTTGTCCGTTTCGGAGTAGAAGATATTGTCTTTACAAGGTATTTGTCCATCTTGCATTAATGCGCAAAAAATTTGAACGTCTTACATGAAGAAATCTTACCTACAGTAAACACGTGGTAGCAGAGAAATGCGTTCTGAAAGAGGTTCGGAGGGATGTTGTTCTGTAGTTCTTAAAGATTCTGAACAATACTGGTAAACAGGGAAGCTAGATCATGGGGCAGATGTTGAAAATAATGAAAGATCCAGGAAGAAAAGTGAAACGGATTTTATTCTAAATGGCGCAATGAGAAATTTTTTTCAAAATGCGAGAAATTCGCGAATTTTGAAATTGGTTTATAGAATGCGCGAATTTCTCGCGGTAATAATTTTTTTAATGCGAGAAAAGAAAAAAAATATGCGAGATTCTCGCGTTGTTGTGAAAACACTGCTTAAGTCTCTTTTCATTAAGTTATAGATTCATTCTTTTCCAGTTAAGTGTGTTATCCCACGTTAGCTTTATGAAAATTGGCAAGATTATTTTTTCATGAAACATCATTGGAATTTAAGTAAGCGATCAGAATTTTGTTTTGTTTTACTTTAATTTTATTAAATTATTATTAAAGTAATAATTTTATTAAATTATTACTTTAACTTTTATTAAATAAAAAAAATAAACAATTGATAATTTTTTTTACATTAAATTATCTTCGAATTAATGAAGTTTATAATTTGTATAAATTTTTTTTTTTAGAATTCGAATTAAAAGTTCTCGAACTATTGCGAAATACGCAAAAAGTAAAACCAAACATTCGACCGTTCTTCTGACCCAACAATTGGGACTATATTTCCCATATTGCGGCTATACTTACATTTTTGTGGTCGGAATCATAATCATCATAATTTGTCGCAAAAATCGGTATGTTTTTTTTAGAGTCAGTACGTTTTTGTGTTTGATTTTGTAACTTAAAAATATCGCTCTCACTAACTAATTAGCATATTTGAGGTCGACCTCCGAACCAGAGTCTTAAAACGTTAAAAGTTGTTCCTTAAATCAAAAGTTATTCAAAGTGTTTAGTTTTTTCCCCTCATAATGTTCAATAAATCTGGTATGGTACACAACATAAAAGGTATTTTCCAAACTTGTGGATAAATTTAAGAAATTTATGCATATTGAAAATATTACTTATAATAGACATTTATCCTAGAATACGGAGGTGATATTCTCATTAATTAAAGGCTTTCTTTTTTAACATTGAAATCGTTAATTAATATTTATCTTCATATGTTTCTCAAAATCAACATTTAAGTTTGATATAGATAATATAATTTTAAGGTAAAAATATTTTAATTTAAAATATAAAAATCAATTTTATGCAGTGTTATGACTAAAACAGCGAGACAATAACAAGGGGAAAAATATGCTATTATTATTTTTTAATCCAGGTTCTTTTTCCAAAAATGAGTTAAAGACTCAGTTTTCAGTATCGCTCCGAGCGTTAAAACATCTTCCTCTGGCGCTGATAAAAATTAGGGTATAAAATAAAGCTTAGAAAAAAAGAATGAGAATGAGGCTTTTATAAAATCCCTATCGATGCTACGAGAAAAAGGTCAAAATTAATTCTAAGTGTGATTTATCAATTAATTTTAAAATAATCATATTTATTTTATCTGTTTAAAAGCTAGTTTTATATAATTTAATGAATTATTATTAATTATTATGTATATTAAATGGAAAAATTAGGCTATCTACTTTATTATTGTTCACTTTTTAAATAAAGCAAAAAAATCTATTCTAAATGAGTTCAGCAAATTTTTTGTTTATCAGCAACATGTTATTCTTTTTTTAAACTTTTTAATTTCCAAAATTATATTTAAATTTTAAAGCACGATTCTCAGAAAACCTATTTTATTTATACGCGGTATTCGACAAGATATGCCGATTGCTAAATAATTAGTTATTTGATTCATAGGATAGTGAAAAATTTTGTCTTCATCTTAGCTGGTAATTAATTTTTTTTTCTTCTTTATTTATATCTATCTATCAAAAAGTTCATTTTGCATTACTTATTAACCGGAATAAAAGTAAAGCATTCTCGCAACAACCCTTTGTGTGGATAAGGCTCCACAATGTGGTCAGCATTGCTCTACGGGCATCCTTCACTTCACAAATTGACTGGTACCCATCGATCTGATGCCGAGCGGGCTTCAAGTCGCCTCTGGGGATCGAATCCCGGTTCTTCACAACAGTTTATTGCCTTGTCCATTAACCAATCGCAGTTCATTGACTAGAATATTTAAGTACAGAAGTGATTGTGCTCCGGAAAAAATCCGGATTGTTCGTTAACCGCGATCCGAAAGTTTCCTGAAATCCGAAGTCCAGAAGATTTAAGAAATCATCGATCACAATTATATATAAAAATTCTTGTATATTTTATTTAAAAATATCAGAACTAGAATTTATACTTGGCATCTCTTTCATTTGTAAATATTTTTTCTGGTGGAATAGAGATAAAAGTGAACTTACACACAATTATTCATTTAAATTATGCTCCTTATAATTCATTTAGAATATCATGTTTTGAAAATTTCAATGATTTAAATTTATTAAGATATAAATTTTTCGAATGATTTTATTCAAGAAATTTTCAGGATTTTTGAGTTGGGCCCACAATTACCCCTTTAAGTATAAAGTCGTTAAATAGGTAATATATTGGTGGAAAAATTGACATATTGTAAAGATATTAGCTACAAAATAAATTTTTTATTGAAGCTGATGAATTAAAAACTTATGAATGATTTGGTCAAATTCGAAATTTCATTCAACAAAATGAAAATTTTGCCCTTTCCAAGTATAAGTTTGCGGCGTCCCTGAAAACGTATTAAAAAAAAAGGAAATTTTTTTCTTGTGACGGTTAGTCACGCATTAACAGGGTGAAGGCAAGACTAAGAAAATTCACTTAGGTACGAGGCTTCCCTGGCCGAGCAGTATCGCCCGCCAAACGCTATGCGAAGCGTGGAGGTAGCAGGTTCGAATCCTGCTGTTGTGGCTTCGTGCTGTACTTTTCTGTATTGTGATATCTGTCCTTCTATATGACATAGGCTTAGAAGCATAAATTGAGCTTATAAGCCTGCAAATTTATGTAGTAACAATAAATAAATAAACACTTATTAATGAAACTTAGTTTGCTATTAGTAAATCTTGAATGGCTTGAGGTAAGACATTTGCTTTGCAATGATGCTTGAGATTCGATTCACTCTCTCGATCCCTTTATTTTTCATTCTCTTACTTTTTTAATAATTTTTCTTTATTATAAATAGTATTAATTTAAATATAATTTTATTTTGTTTATTGTAATTTTCTTAATTATCAAATATCACTTGACATTTAAATTACAGAATTTTAATAAAATTTTCGGAAATATTTTTGTATTGTGATCTTTTGCGCCAACTACAACTGTCAAGGCAAACTTTATTTATAAAGTCGGGGTTCCGCCAAGAGAAGGTTGATTATTTAGGGTTCCGTAGAATGAAAAAAAAAGGGAACCGCTGACGAAAACAATAACCATTCAGGACATCAATTTTAAGTTTGTAATTTCTCTATTATGCTTTGAAATAAAATTATTTCACATGAGGGCACATGACAGGGTTCGCCAAGTGGGCCCACTTCGAAAAAACCCTCCCGGGTTTTATTGGGTGGGCCCACCTTGAAAAAACCCACAATTGAAAAAAACCCCAAAGTTTTTTCACAATTTTTTTAATTTGGTTGAAAAAGAAGTATCTCCTAATACTATCATTGGACACATCGTGGAAGTTAACAAATATTTTAGAAATGTGCATCAAGCACATGGATGGGCAAATAAAAATAAAAAAACAGCTCAATGCTTCAATTACCAAATGATACTAGGTGGAGTTCATATTGTGACTGCGTAAAAGCTCTTGCCATTAATTACCATAACTATCAAGAGATTCCTCTTGAACATCAAAATAAATCTAACAATAATATGTTAAAAATATTAAATAATGTTGGGCTTCACCAATAAACTATCAATTTTGAAAAACATATATCAATTGTTTCTGAAGCTTTAAAAAAGATTCAATCAGAAAACATTTCAATTTTCGCAGTAAAATTTTAAGGTTGATGAGCACTAAATGAAAAAACCCAATTTTACCCTGTTTTTTTTCAAATAAAACCCAATTTTCTCCGGGGTTTTTCAATAAAACCCGGGCGGGTTGGGTTATTTCAAAAATCCCCAGGTTTTTACAAACCCTGGCACATGGTCAAGATTTTGATATAAAAGGGATCCTGGCAAAGACATAAAAAGTTTGGGAAAACAATTGCTCTACAATCTGTATTATCCCATATAAATCGCATTCCATTGATTGAATAAATACTTTAATAATTTAATGAAGATGACATTTTTTCTATGATTTAATTATTATAATACTTTTTTTTAGAATATCCGCAATTAGTTTTTTGAAGCAATGACATTAGAAGTTTTGAAACCGGTAAGTTTTTTGGGCATTTTTATATTAAATTATATTCTAATTAATTAATAATTATAGCATTATTGAAGAAATAAAATTATATATTTTGCAAACCTTAATGAGTTCTAGAAATTTTTTTGCAAACTAACGAAAATTTCATACATGCATTGTTTGCCTTAGTTAATGTGACATCTAAAATGTATTAGTTTTCATTTTTGCACCTAATTTAATCCAACTTAATTATTTTCTCGCAACTGAAGAGTAAGTTGGATTGAATTTAGGAATTTATACGAACTTCTTCAGTACTAGTTATAGATTTATGCAACAGATTGCAAGGTATGCACAGCAGATAAATAAAGTAAAATAAATTTTTTATCACCCAAAGCATTATTATATTACCACTTCGTGAATACATTTTTAACAACCGTAAGAAGTTGGTAAGTAACTTCGAAATTATATAGTTATTAATGACATTTCATATTTTGATTTTGTTTATTGTTGTAATTTTGCAAGGATGCATGAGCAATTTTTGAGCAAACAACAAACTTATTTTCGTAATTGTTTCTAAATTTGTTTTTTTAAAAAACAATTATTTAATCTACTTCGAAGAAACTTTAGGTTTCTCATATTTAATGTATTATTTACTTTACAAATTTATATTTTGATTAATTCGCTAGTAGCTTCTTTAAAAGATATGATTCCTCTGTTTTGATTCCTAAAAAAGAAAAAAAATATTTTTTTGATAATTCATCAAATAAATCTTTATTACTTTTTTGGTTCAGATTCATTGATTCTTTATGAATTTAGTTTTTTTCGAAACTTACGAGTTCATTTCCAACCTAAAAGAAATAAATAAAATTGTCATAACTTAACTCAGGTTTTTCATGGGCCTTAAAAAATAAGAGTAGTCTTTTTTTAAAGCTAGTAAATTTTTTCATTTAAAGACAAGGTTGATTGGTTTTTTTCTAAAAACCAAGCCTAGTTTTTTTTTAAAAAAAATATTTTATATTATTAAATTTTCTATTATTTATAGTAGTACTTCCAGTTTTATTATAACAAAATGAAAAAAGATGAAATACTCTTACATTTTTTAGTTTTATTGCTGTTGTGTATCTGTTTTATTTCAAATAAACATAAATCTGCAATTTTTATTTATATTTACTTACGTAGAAATGATTTTCCACAAAAATATCTGTGTTGAACAGTTGTTCGGAAGAAACCTTTATCTTCCAGGGCAGTAGAAGAAATTGGACAAAATGAAAGAAACTAAAAATGATCGATACGATCGTTCAACAATAAGTATTATAAGAATAACTCAATTAAATTAAATTAAATTTAATATAGTAACAGAAAGTTTAAAGTTTATCACGTTTATTTTAAAAAAAAAACATTATTTGTTTGTTATTTCTGTTTTTTATGGAGAATTTCAAAATCTATATATCATATTCTTTTTAGAGTCGGTTTGAGCATTTATACTTAACATTATTTAATTTAATATAGTAACAGAAAGTTTAAAGTTTATCACGTTTATTTTTTTTAAAAAAAGCATTATTTGTTTGCTATTTCTGTTTTTTTATGGAGAATTTCAAAATCTATATATCATATTCTTTAAGAGTCGGTTTGAGCATTTATACTTAACATTATTTAATTTAATATAGTAACAGAAAGTTTAAGGTTTATCACGTTTATTTTTTTTAAAAAAAGCATTATTTGTTTGTTATTTCTGTTTTTTTTTTATGGAGAATTTCAAAATCTATATATCATATTCTTTAAGAGTCGGTTTGAGCATTTATACTTAACATTATTTACTTTAGTTATTTGTAGTTGAGAATTCAATATGTGTGTAGTGTCTATGTTTAGTATGCGATTTGTTACTTTAGTGGTATTAATAAAATTCGATCATGTTACATTAACAATTGAGTTATACTATACTCTTTAAAATAAAATATTGAAAAACTAGTCATCTTCATTTTTTAAGAAATGTATGAAAAAAAATTTCTGCTTTTTAGTTCTTACTTACTTAAAAATTAAATAAAGTAGCTCAAAAATCAACACTTTTATTTAAACTACATCGCAGTTATAAACTGTTTAAAACAACTCTTTAAGTATTAAATATTTCTTATTCAAAAAGAGTATCTTCCATTTGGGTTACTAGATAGCTATTTCTTCCGGGGTAATGTTTTCCATGCTTTCTTCCACTGTAGAAAAAACTTCCCATATTACTGATGCAGGGGTTTGTCCAGACATTTTGTGAAAGGTCCGTTTTTATAAAATTGTGAAAAAATTACTTGTAATTTGTGAACAGACGTTAAGTCACATTCATTCAACCAGGGTCCGCTTTTGTGAATTTGTGCAAATAGGGTCCGTTATTGCAAAAAAACTTTTTCAAGGAGTTTTACAATTGTAAAGACAGACAAGATTATGCTCAACACTGTAAAATTATAATTAAATTTCAAAAAATAAACGGTAACTGCAGCTACTAAATTAGCGATGCAACATACAATAATTTGGTATCTAGCCTATACTGCTCAACGCAGAATATTAATTTCGGACGAATAAAGGAAGAAGCGTCTGTCGAAGACAAAATTTAGTTCGTTTACATCTGTCTTTCTTCCTCCACCCCCTGGAAAGGGTTTATTCCATTAACAAAACAATAATGAATATAAACAAATTTGTGAAGGGTCCGATTA